GTATATATATATATATATATATATATATATATATTAGGGGTGTGACGAGACACTTATCCCACGATACTGGGTTCACGAGAACGAGACAAGATTTTTATACTTTTTTAAAGAAATCCTCAATGATGAAATGTATAGTCTTTTATTACAATCTACTATCTTTTAGATTACTTTTATTTTAATCTAAAATAGTCTTTTATTCTTATTAATTAAAATCATGAAACTTATACCAATTCTGTGTATGAGATATGACGCTAGTTTTACTCAAATCAAACGCTAAAATGCTCGTGAAGTGACTCTCAGAGCAGTTCTGGAGATGTTGTTCTTGTGTTTGCGTCCTCATTTAGTGAGACGGCAGACGCTGAAATCACCGCGAGTGTCGCGCGCTTCAGTGTGTGTGTAGTAAATGAAACCGCGCATCTGCGCCATTCATTAACAGAGACAGGCAGAACATGCAGGATTCATATTTAAATTTACTTTTGCAGCTTAATATTTACAGATACTAGTCCATATCGTGATTTGATTTAAGTGTAATGACCTACTTTTGATTAATTCATTCAAAATTTGACAAATTCCGTGACATTCAGCGTTAAACTGTGAATTCAGTTTTTATGACTGGATAAAGACTACACTGCGTAATTTTCCCGCTTATCATGCGTCCACTTGCCTGATGTGAACAAAATATCTTACATACCACCACTGGTGAACGAGCCAGTGTAATGCAAATATATCTGAAAGGTCTGCGCGAGGATATCGTCACGTTCTCGCGAGACCAGTCAGATCTCGCCAGACACATCGGATCTCGCGAGATCTCGTGCCACGAGATCTCGTCACACCCCTAATATATATATAATGTTCCAGTTACAGCAAGACAACAAGTACACCTGTGTAAATCTGTGGGAACTAATTTCTTACATCCACTAAAAAAAAATCACCTTTTAGTTGCAAAAATGGCAAGAAAATGTAAATGTATTTCTTTAAATAGTCTTTGGGGCCTCTGTAGATGTATAGTTTTGATATATCCTCCCTTCTTGTCAAGAGACCTCACATTTGGCTGTGCTGTTGACATCACTGGCACCTTAGAGAAGAGCCCGAGTAAGAGACAGAATGTGGAGTTACGTGCTCGGCATATTGAAGTGGTTGGAGAATGCAATCCTGTGGTGAGTCTTTACTTTAAAAATGAATCAGTCAGATAAAACTGATGAGAAGTGATTTATAAAAAAGTCGTGATTAGATCACAGTTAATATACTGATCCAGTATGTCTGCTCTAGGACTTTCCTTTCAAGATCAAGGAGCGTCATTCTCTGGAGTATGTCAGGCAGTTCCCTCACCTCCGATGCCGAACAAATGCCTTCAGCTCTCTGCTCAGGATACGCAGTGAGGCTACAACTGCTATCCAGTCGTTCTTCAGGGTAAAAAGTTATCATTTACGCATTACCGTTTAAAGTTTGGCATCAGTGAGATTTCTCGAAAGAAGTCTCTTATGCCCACCAAGGCTGCATTTATTTGATCCTAAAATTGTGAAATATTTATACTATTTAAAAATAACTGTTTTGTTTTAATATATTTTAATAAGTAATTTATTCCTGTGACGCGGAGCTGAATTTTAGTGTCATTACTCCAGTCTTCAGTGTCACATGATCCTTCAGAAATCATTTGAATATTCTGATTTGTTGCTTAAGAAACCATGTGTGTGTATTTATGAATTTTATATCTTTTATTATACAGTTTGTAATATTAGAACTGCCCCAAAAATTTTGAATAATAGTAAAAAATATTTTAAATGTATTTTCATTCTTTTATTCTTATATTAGCTGTATAATGTGCAAATTAATAACAAATCATAATTAGAAAAAAAAAAAAAATTATAACCAATTCATGATCCTTCAGAAATCATTTGAATATTCTGATTTGTTGCTTAAGAAACAATTATTTTTATCAATGGTAAAACAGTTCTGCTGCTTATTATTTTTGTGGAAACCTTGATGCATTTTTTTTTTCAGGATTATTTGTTGAATAGAAAGTAAAAACAAAAACAGCATTTATTTGAAATACAATTAACTGAATGTATTTATAAATTGTATTATATATATATATATATATATATATATATATATACTGTATATATACTGTATATATATGTGTGTGTGTGTGTGTGTATTTTAAATATTTTCATTCTTTTATTCTTATATTAGCTGTATAATGTGCAAATTAATAACATCATAATTATAAAAAAATAATAATAAAATTCTCATATGGCTTATATTTCCTTTTGAGTGATTTTGTTAATTGTTGTTACAGGATAACGGTTATGTGCAGATACACACACCAGTAATCACCTCAAATGACTGTGAGGGAGCTGGAGAACTCTTCCAAGTTGAGGTACGGTCTAGTTGATGGGTGACGTGAGATATAGCAACAAGCAAAATGATATTATTTCAAAATATGGTACATGGATGCTATTGATTCTTCCTTAAAACACTGAAAACGTATGTTTGTGCTCTCTGCAGCCTGCAGGGCATAATGACTCCGATGACCCAAACCCACATTTCTTCTCTGTGCCGGCTTATCTAACAGTCTCAGGACAACTGCACCTGGAGGTGATGGCAGGGTAAATAGTTTAGACACAACTAGTCGTGTTAATCTCACTATGTTAAGAATATTAAAAAAACTGATCCTAGCTCAATTTTATTATTAGGGCTGTAACGAACAGACATTACAAAATGTATAATGAATCATTAGCTAAAGTTGAATGCTAAACTGTTTTGTGATTGCTCAGCGTCTGCTGTTTTCTGTTGTAGGGCTTTTTCTGCAGTGTACACATTCGGTCCCACGTTCAGAGCGGAGAACTCTCAAAGCAGGAGACACTTGGCAGAGTTTTACATGGTAGAGGCAGAGATTGCCTTCACTGAGTCACTAGACGACCTTATGAAGGTAGAAAACTCATTCCTTCCCACTCTGTGAATTACATACACTAAAGACTCTATCAAGCAACTGATTATGGTTGGCAGATTTGAAAGTGTGTACATTTCATAATGCGTCATTTTCATTTTAAAGCTTGTTTCTCGTTCTTCAGGTAATGGAGGGCTTATTCAAAGCTGCCACGGAGCATGTGCTGTCCTCTTGCGCAGAGGATGTAGAGTTATTTCACAAATATATTGCACCAGGACACAGGGTATGACACACAATGCTGTTGTTCCGTATGCTTTATAAGAGCCTTATAAGAGCATTGGGAGTTTCTCCACTATAACGGCTGTAATAAAGTGATAATGTTTTATCTTATTTGAACATCCTCAGGATCAAGTGGATCTCATGTTGAAAAGAAAATTTTATGTGTACGTATTATATTTCAGTTCAGTCTACTTTTCCCAAAGCTGAAGTCCTTGAGCTTGAGAAAAATATTACATACTTTTTTCTTCTTCTAAAAAGTTCTCTGAACATTAGCTGTTAAAAGTAAGAATCAGTAATTTTTGTATGTCACCTCTCCTTGAACCATGCAATTTTATTGCACGATTTTAAATTGTTATATTTGCGTTTTACAGCATTTCTTACACCGAGGCCATAGACATTCTAAAGAGCAGTTCACAGAACTTTACAATCAGCACTGAGGCAAGTAAAAAACAGCATATGTTTGTTTTAAATAATTACTATACTTAATATAAGAGATACTTTAAGAAATGCACATTGAATAAAAATATGATGTCCATTAGCATTCAAAAGTTTGGTGTCAGTAAGAAATGACTACTTTTATCCAGCAAGGATGCATTAAATCGGTCAAAAGTGACTAAAGACAATGTTACAAAATATTTTTATTTCAAATCAACGTTGTTCATTTGAACATTTTATCAGAGAATCCTGAAACAAACATATCACAGTTTGCACAAAATATTAAGCAGCACAAATTCTTTTCAACATTGATAAAAATAAGAAATGTTTCTTGAGCAGCAAAATCAGTATATTAGAATTGGAGTAATGATGCTGAAAATTCAGCTTAGCATCACAGGAATAAATTATATTTTAAAATATATTAAAATAGAAAACTGTTATTTTAAATTCTAATAATATCTCAACATATTACTGGTTTTACTGTGTTTTTTAATCAAGTAAAAACAGCCTGGATGAGGCCAAGGCTGTATTACATTAAAACATTAAAAACCTTACTGACCCAAACCTTTTAATGGTAGTGTACATGTCCGTTTTTTAATATTGTCTGTTCTCCCTTTCTTTGACATATGCTTTACATTAGTGGGGCTGCGATCTTCAGACAGAACATGAGAAGTTCCTAGTGAAACATTGTGGAAATGTCCCAGTGTTTGTCATCAACTATCCCTACGAGTTAAAGCCTTTCTATGCCCGAGACAACCAGGACCAGCCCAACCACACTGTAAGAATGAGCTCTCACCATCAGTCTTTTCTACATGTGGTCCTGCCATGAGTTCCACTCAACTGCTAATCTCTTTTAAATATGTTTATATTATGTGTTTAAAGCCTAGAGTAAATGATCAGATGTGATAAAGATGTTATGGCATGTCTTTCTGAATTATACCTTTTTTTCCGCTTTTCCTCACCTCTATGTGCTCACTGCTTATTCACTGATGATTTTTTGGACAGGCAGCTGCTGTAGATCTCTTGGTGCCTGGAGTGGGGGAGCTTTGTGGTGGATCCCTGAGAGAGGAGAGACTAGAACTTCTGAGTCAACGACTAGCACAGTAAGAATTAGAGAAGAGTCCCTTTTCACATAGTAATACGTAATAAAAATTAATATATGCTGTAATTAAGACATGGATAAACTACTGTTCTAAAGTGCTCACAAAGGCTGCACTTATCACATCAAAAATGCTGTAAAAACAATGTTGTAAAATATTATTACCATTTACAATTTACTTACAATTAAAAATAACTATTTTTTAACTATTTTAATATCACTGCAGTCTTCAGTGTCACATGATCCTTCAGAAATGGTGTTAATATGCTGATTTGGTGTTAAAAAAAAATGTAAAAAAATTAATTTCTTAATATTAATAATGCTGAAAACAGTTGTGCTGCTTAATAGTTTTTGTGGAAATTGTGATATATTTTTCCAAGATTCAAAAGAACAGCATTTATTTGACAGAAAAATTTGAAATAGTTATTTTGTAACATTGTACAGTAAATGCCCGTTCTGTCGTTTTTGATCACTTTAATGCATCTTTGCTGAATAACGCCCCATTCACACGGGGCGTCAGCTTTAAGGCTTGACGGAGGGCGTTTCTGAAGCTTGGTGCTGACGACCGTCATAGTGACAACAGCCAATCACATTAGTCTTCTGGTGTTGCATGAACGCGATTGGCTAGCGTCTGCGCTAGGGTATTTGTATAAGGCGATCTGATTGGCTGACGCCTGCGTTGGCGCTTGAAAAGTTGAAAAGTTTTCAACTTCTGCCGCGAGCAACGGACCCACAATTTATTTCGCCAATGCTTGACATCACTCCATTCAAAGTAAACGAGAGGCGTTGACGCTGACGCCCCGTGTGAATGGGGCATAAAGGTAAAAAAAAAAAAACTGACACCAAACTTTCACAGTGTAAATAAAACATCAAGTACTAAAGGATTTTTATTCGCACTGTTATGTTGATTTGTACAAAAAAAAAGTGTATTTTAGTAAATCCGAAAATACTTTTAGGCTATAGTGTATATTCTGTATGTTAGAATGTCAAATGTATTCTTTTCATGATCAAAATTCTGTACACAAATATGGCACCAAAAATGTAATGCGATGCTTTCCATACATATTACATGTTTGCTGATGTGTTACTAAGTACTATTCACTTGCATCTCCTGCATGTTTTCACTCTTTTCATAGAGCTGGATTGGAGGACACATATGCATGGTAGGTTTCTAAGAACAACTTTTGCTGCCCAACCATATTTTTATTCCAGAACTAAGAGGCATTTGCGTATTATGTGTTTGAGTAGTGTTTCTTTACAAAGTGACATCGCCAACTAGAGGCCTGGCATGCATAATGCAGCATTTTAAGTTGTTTTCTTGGGTCTTTGTGAATGGGGGTCGCTTTGACAACGTTGTAATTTGTACATGAAAAACTTCACAATGTTGTCATACCCTTAAAGAGCATCGTTGTGATTGACAGGTATCTGCAGCTGAGAGAGTTTGGCTCAGTCCCCCATGGTGGGTTTGGGATGGGCTTTGAGAGGTATCTTCAGTGCATTCTGGGACTCCACAATATTAAAGATGTGATCCCATTTGCAAGGTTCTCACACTCCTGCCTGCTTTGAAACAGTGTTTTCCCGAAGCCACCCAACACTGCACATTTTGAATGTCTTTTATGTGTGACACCCATTTGAGGTCTTGAAGTCTCTATCAATGAGCTGATGATCTGAGTCAGGTGTGTTTGATTAGGTAAGCATACAAAATGAGCAATATTGATGAAGCTAGAAACACATTTTTGGAACCACTGCTCTAGTGTAGCAGGATGACTAATGTGTTTCATGCATTTTTATGAAACACATTCATCTTCTCTGTTATAGATAGGAGCAGATATTATTCAACAGCCTCCCTAAAAAAAGTAGTCATTTGTTTTTGTTGATTTTTTTTTATTATTTATGACCACTATCATCAATCACATTTAACATCTTTGAAATAAAATCAAAGACAGCATCTTTGATCTTGTGATGCAGAAGAGTTATTTTTGAATTTAATTACATTTTGTCTGCAAAGACTAATGTCCACATGTCATTCTGGGAATATAAAATGTAAAATATAGACGTTTTAGTTGAGTGAGTGAACTGTTAACACATGTTAACTTTTTTTTACTAAACAGTAGATCTCTGTGAAGGCTCTGGCAAGAACCTCTGCGGCCTTTCAGATGAAGTAATCAATTTTTTTAATTATTTACAAAAGTACATCAATTTTCACATCCTTCAGCAAGCAACATCACCAGTCGTTAATATTGCTGCCTCAAGCCAAAGGCACAAAATGCTACCAGGGCTTGCTGGCCCTGCAAGATGTTAAAGTAGATGGACGAAGAGGACACTCAATTTTGCCCGGCAGACGAAACAGCTGCACAGATGACACTTTCAGAGTGGCAGTGATTGGTCTTACACCTGGAACAAAACACAGAAATGAGCTTTATTGTTAAATTCATTATTAGAACAGGTGGCATTTTTAAAATACACCTTAATTGTTTTTAGCTCATCTTAGGCTCAGTACCTAAAGCAGTCATGGTGAACAATCCTGTCCAGATCAAGCTGACATTCTGGCTTTTGCTGCAGAAGGGAGCAGACCAAATGGCAGCATTCTGTGCAGAAAAATGGGAGAGACGTCTGATTATTACCGTAAACTACATTCGCTCTTCTTATTCTAAGCTGAAAGATCTTTAGGTCAGAAAAACAGGATAAATTGCTGCATTCTCCATATGCCATCTCCTATTAAGCCTATAAAGTCTTGTATTAGAATTGTGGAGAAGAACTCACCTTCTGTCAAGCTAGGTTTGGACCAGTTGTTCATGTTGGTCCTGTAGATGTTGAAACTATCTAGAATATATCCACACAGCATTCTGAACAAGAGAATGCTCAATGCTGCCTCTGTTTGTGTTACACAAAGTGGAATGCATCCATGCAGTGTGAAAAACGCTGGACGACTATGATGTACTGTAGAAGTCCTGCTGGTCCTTCCAGTCCAGCAGCTTAATAATGTCCATCACTGGGCCTTTATTGGCCAGGATTGTTAGGGCGACTTTTTTGGGGAAGGGCCTTGGGATGTTCAGACTGGACGAAAGAAACATTTTTGGCTGTTAAATGGTTATAAATACAGGGTGTCCGTGGGGTCTTAAAAAGTATTAAAAGTTGATAAATCAATTTAGAGAAAATTAAGGCCCTTAATAAGTATTAAAAAGTCTTAAATGCCATTTTCCAAGGTATTAAATTTTGTATCATCTTTTCATTATGTATATTTGTCCGAATAGTGGGGTTCTGTGTAGTTTATTTATATTGACGTCATCTGTTACTGCGCTCACTGACTGACTGCGCTGCTGCGTGATAGCGCGGGGCTTGTTGATCCTGCTCTCTCTGAATTTCTGAACATTACCACATGCTCCCATCCGCTCCCGTGATGTTTGTGTCCGCTCCCGCCAACATTCTAATATTGTATATAATTTTCGCGCATCATATCAATATGTGGGGTATTTAAATCCCTTTTGAATGAGTGCTCACAGTTCACTTTCGATTTCGCAATCGCGCACGCACTATGTAAAGGGAACACATATTACGATAAAAGATATTTGTCAATGAGCTCAAGATCTGTTGAGGAGCAAATCCTCCAACATCTTGTCAGTCATCACTCCTTACTCTCGACCCGTGATCAGTCAAATCTGACTCTTGCAGCTGGTGTTGGATGCAGGGTTGTTGTTGTTGTTGTTGTTGTTTTTTTCCCACGAAATTTGGCTGCTTTTAAACTCTTGCCATGGGTTGATTTTCCCAAGTGGGTTAAAACTTGGAGTGGTGATGAGGTCTTAAAATGTATGGAAAGAGTCTTAAAAAAGGTCTTTAAATGTATTAAATTCCATTCCATGATTCCTGTATATACCCTGAAATAGGGATTTAACTTAGTCTTGGGTAATTTTTTTCTATTGAAAAATCACTTGTACTCACAATGCTGATACTTTCCACGTTTTGACTTTTTGACAGATTTTACTGCCACCTGATGGACAAAACAAAAAAAGCAATTAATATACCATAGGATGGAATATACAATAACAAATCATAATACAAAAAATATATCATAGATTCGAAGTGTGAATTTTCATCCTGCACTTTTAAAAATACACTTTTTTTTTTTCCATTTCTCTTGCAGCTGGTGTTGGATGCAGGGTTGTTGTTGTTGTTGTTGTTGTTTTTTTCCCACGAAATTTGGCTGCTTTTAAACTCTTGCCATGGGTTGATTTTCCCAAGTGGGTTAAAACTTGGAGTGGTGATGAGGTCTTAAAATGTATGGAAAGAGTCTTAAAAAAGGTCTTTAAATGTATTAAATTCCATTCCATGATTCCTGTATATACCCTGAAATAGGGATTTAACTTAGTCTTGGGTAATTTTTTTCTATTGAAAAATCACTTGTACTCACAATGCTGATACTTTCCACGTTTTGACTTTTTGACAGATTTTACTGCCACCTGATGGACAAAACAAAAAAAGCAATTAATATACCATAGGATGGAATATACAATAACAAATCATAATACAAAAAATATATCATAAATTCGAAGTGTGAATTTTCATCCTGCACTTTTAAAAATACACTTTTTTTTGTTCCATTTGCAATAGAAGAACCATTCTGGGTTCTCCAAAGAAAGTTTCAGTGAACAGTTCTTAAAAGAACCATTTTATCCTAATTTTAAAGAGTGTAACACGTCTAGTCAAATCTCAAATCGAATTGTTTTTAGCGCATCTTAGGCTCAGTACCTAAAACCAGTCATGGTGAACAATCCTGTCCAGATAAGGCTGGCTTTTGCTGCAGAAGGGAGAGATCATCAAATGGCAGCATACTGTGCAAAAAAATGGGTGAGAAGTCTGATTATTACTGTAAACTACATTTGCTCTTCTTATTCTAGCTGTAAGATCTTCAGGTCAGAAAACTGGGATAAATTGCTGCATTATTCATACGTCCATCTCCTATTAAGTTTTGTATTAGAATTGTACTTGTGGAGAAGAAGTCGAAACTATCTGGAAAGTGTCCACACAGCATTCTGAACAAGAGGTTCCCTAGAGACCAGACCGTCGCTGGCTTTCCATGGAACTCGCCCTTCAGTATGTACTCGGGAGGGCAGTACATAACTGTTCCTGGAGGAAAAAGAGTTTGTCTGATGTTTTAGTCATTACCACAGCATGTCTTCTTCGCATTAAGTATTGAGTTAACTGATTCACAAGAGTTTTTAGAGATTAATACACACCATTGAATCTTGTGTAGGTAGATTCTGTCAGGAGACTGCCACATCCAAAGTCAATTAGTTTGACTTCGAGGTTCTCCAAGTTTATCAGCAGGTTCTCTAATTTGATGTCCCCATGGTAAACTCCATGGCGACAACATGCACTGGCGGCTAGCGTTGCCCTCCACATGATGAGCCTCGCTAACTTCTCGTCGATGCTGCCTCCATTGCGTTGCACAAAGCGGAAAACATCCATGCAGTGTAAGAAGCGCTGGACGACAATGACGTAGAAGTTCTGCTGGACGTAGAAGTTCTGCTGGTCCTGCCAGTCCAGCAGCCAAATAATATCCATCACTGGGCCTTTATTGAGCTCCAGAAAATGATTTAGAGTTCAAAATTTTCGTCGGTTCTCCCAGATGTTTCCGTCTCAGTACCTTGGTCCTTCATCTCACCCTGACCTGAGCTCTTGCTTTTGGTGAATTTTTTCCTCAAACGGGAAGCGAGCCACTTAAAGAAGTGGCCCACTTTCTTTTTATTCCTCTTCTTCTCCTCTTTCAGAGGAGAGGTGGGAAGCACAATTCCCTCACCACCAGGCTTCTCATCAGGCCGATGAGGATGATGTTTCTCTGCCGTGTTGGGGCTGGATTTTTGGGGTTTACTGTGAGGGAGGTCGTAGACCTGCTTGCTCTCTGTAAACGGTTGTACTCGTGAAGAACTATGTCCCATGATAAATTTCTGTTGTGTATCAATCAGACTAGAGCAGCAACAAACTGAGTAGCCTAAATGAGTGAAGTGAGGAGCGTTGCACGGCTTTATACGTGCAACTTTCTAAAAGTTCTACGTTTCTTTGTGACATCACAGTGGCTCTCAGACATATACTGAACAAAATTATAAACGCAACACTTTTGTTTTTCAGAGCATCCCAAACATGCTCAATGGGAGACATGTCCGGTGAGTATGCTGGCCATGCAAGAACTGGGATGTTTTCAGCTTCCAGGAATTGTGTACAGATCCTTGCAACATGGGGCCGTGCATTATCATGCTGCAACATGAGGTGATTAGGGCTGGGTATCGAGTTCGATACTTTTTAGGTACCGACCGAATTGCCTCGATACTATCGAGTATCGAAAAATTAATTTTCGTTCGGTACCAAATTTCGATACCTAAGGGTTTAATCTGGTCAACGTCAGTGAGCCAGTAAAAGTGCAGCATGCTTGACATGCACAAATCAAATGCTGGTGATTGGCTGGGGCGAGGCATCAGGGAAAATCAATAGTTTACGCCCACTCGCTCAGAGACGCGTCTCTCACACGTGAGGCTGTAGTGTAGCGTCCCAACCCCCATAGATTTAAAAGATGTTTAAAAGATCAAAAGTGTGGCTACATTTCGTCAAGCTCGACGACAATAGCGTGCGATGCAATATTTGCAATAAGATAATTGCTGCCAAGACGGGCAACACATCAAATATGATGAAGCACTTGATCGTGCACGGAATAAACAGAAAGTTGCTCCGTATTCGACTGCAAGAGGACCGAGCCGGTGCAGTCATCCTCTCAGCATTTTCCTGCCACAGAGCCTCCTTCAACATGCCCGCCACAAGAGTCTTCCTCCAAAACTACTGATGAAGATAGCATCGCTATGACTGAAGCTCCGACAGGTAAACAAACATACAAAATCGGCTAACTTGTAGTGCTACTTACTTGTGTACGTTACTATTTAAGTGAAGTTAACGTTTGTGCGCGGTGACTTAGTCCTCTTTTTTGGGACCTAAGCTATGTAACGATAGATACTGTTTCGATGGCTATAGATACCTAACTAAATCGATGCTAAAAATGCTTTAAGGTAAACAGTAACTGATCAAGTTTAACTCACATTAAACTAGTTATCTTGTTTAAATGTCCTTATGCTTGGCTGCATTAACAGGTTAGCTTTCATGTTTTTTCCCCTCTTCATATTAATGTTATAGCCTCTGCTCCTGCTGACACTGGAATTAGGAGACCATCAAGTGTTAATCCATTTACACTGGCAGAAAAAGGAAAATTTAATAAAGAAAGTAAAGATAAATGCCACAGGGCCGTCACAAAGTTTATTGTTAAAGGGTTGCTGCCTTTTTCTACAGTGGAGGCTCCATGGTGGAGGTAAGTAAGCTGTAAGTGGTGTTGTAACTTTACCATTAAAGTTGTTGGCCAGGTTTGTAGGTAGTCTCTTAACCTAGATGTAGGAGTTATTCTTGATGAATTCAATATAAAGGACAGAGTAGTTGCTGTGACAGTGGATAATGCAGCAAACATGGATGTAGCAGTAAAAAAAGATGAGTATTAAAAAAATTTGCTGCTTTGCTCACACTCTCAACATTGCTGCTCAGAAGCTTTACACTATATCCTCAGTCTCACAATGGGCAGGAAGGATCAGAGCAATGGTGGTGTGGCTGAAAAGGTCCAGCCTGGCTAAACCTGTCCTTAAAGAGAAGCAACGTCTTCTCGATGACAGCTCAACTGACGAAGACGGTGCATCTGCAGCAGCAACACTGGTAAGAAAATATAAAGACATCCTATTTAACTTTCAGAAGAAAATTAACTTGTTTGCATTTACCTCTATAGTGTTTTATATTTTTCTTTATTTCTTTACTTATTTGTTCATAGAAGAAGCAAAAGCTCTCTGCCCTTGAGGAGCTGTTTGCTGTGGAGGACATGGCAATTGAAGCAAGAACACAGACCACTGTCAGCAGCCTTACAGAGAAGATTCAGAGATAAATCAGTACAGACCGCTTCCATCCACACTGTCCACAGTGAGTCCAGTAACCTGGTGGTGGGACATGAAGGACACTCTGCCAATGCTTTCAGATTTGGCAACAAGGTATCTCTGTGTGCAAGCATCATCCACACCCTCAGAGCGTACATTTTCTACGGCTGGGGACATTGTCAGTCAGGAGCGGGCTTGTCTGACTCCTGGAAAAAGCAGACATGCTAATTTTTCTGAAGAAGAACTGCTGAGTGATTCAAAGATCTTAAGCAGCAGTGAGCCTCACATATACTGACTTAAAACTGCTTGAACTTTATTAAAACTGTGATTAAAACTATTTGCACTGATATATTGTGTTGATTACATTTTGTTCCTTTGGGCTTATTTGTTTCTTTGTGTAGTGACTCAGTAGATAACCACTGACTATTTGAGCTTTATTAAAACTATTTGCACTGATTTATTGTGTTGGTTACATTTTGTTCCTTTTGTGCAGTGGCCCAGGAGATGAGTCTTTGAGTTTGTATAAACATCAACAAGCTGAAAAATAAAACCAAAGTTTTTTGGGTTTTTTTAGATAATGTAATCTTGTTAAACTTGGTTTCATAAAATAGGTATCGAAAAAAGTATCGTTCAGGAACCGGTATCGAATTCAAGGTATCAGTATTGGTATCGTATCGAAAATTTTGAAACGATACCCAGCCCTAAAAATGGGGGCAAAAACAAAAGTGTTGCGTTTATAATTTTGTTCAGTGTTCAGACAAAGATGACTGAGGGAGAGATTCTGTGCAGAAGGCCTTAAACTTTTCCCTTGGCTCTAGGGCCCAGCGCCTTTGGGACGTCACTCAGGGCTGCCCCAGGGGCCACCGTGCCGAGTTTCGGGCCCCTGGGACCTTCCTGAATAAATCCCACTTGCCACTTATTCGAATGGGTTTGGCCATGAATTCAGCTCATGAAAAATGGGGGCAAAAACAAAAGTGTTACGTTTATAATTTTGTTCAGTGTAGCTGAAGAATTCGAAAAAAAAAAATCTGCATTTTTTTTTTCTTCCTTTTTTGCACAGTAGTTAATTAAATTCAACTGGCTAAATATTGTACAGTTGTTGTAAACATCACATTTTGTATATGTATTAAATATATTAAGTATCACAATTACAAATTATGGAGTCTTGTATTAACTATTAATGAGATTTATTCACCTCTTTAATTCTTGTGAAGTTTAAAGGATTATATATACACACATTTTATATATAGGCTATACTTTCACACACATACAACAATAACAAAACTTTTCTTGTGTGCATTTCTCAGTCACAGACAGCTGTAGCCTGTGACCGCCTCTTTCTGGATGTATTACCCAGATATATTGGATGTATTAGCTTTTGACAAATATCGTTTTTTTGTTTTATTTTCTTCTTAAAGGGGTCATATGATGCGATTTCAAGTTTTCCTTTCTCGATGGTAAAACTAATGACATTATTTACTGTCTTTACATTTATTTTGAAAGATGAAGCTCGCGATTATGGTAAGGGGCGTTACATTTCCGACGAGTGCTTGCGGTGTTCGGCCAATCACAATGCACTGGGTCAGCTGGCCAATCAGAGCAGACTGCTCTTGTCGGAAGGAGGGACTTTGTAGAAAACGAAGGTTTTGAGAGAGGCGGGGCATAGAGGCCCTACAATAATGTACAGGATTTGAAAAATAATGTGTTTTTTGAACATTAAAGCATGTCAACATATTCTGTTACACCAAATACACAAAATAATGATCTTTAAAAAAGCATCATATGACCCCTTTAACGCCATTCCAGCATCTATGGCTATATTCATAGATAAATATCCATATGGCTATATTCACTCAGTCTGTTATATTGACAAATATCGTCACAACATAAGGACACAAATGTGAAAGCCTTCATCTAACAAGCAGCTACTGAACATATCCACCGTTACTGATCAAGAACAAAAGTTCTTTTTTTTTTTGGTTTTCTAAGGAAGCAATTTCGAGAAGCCTACTAGATTATTTAAAGGCACCTTTCCAAATTATTTCATATATAATGCATTCAAATTGCCAATACAAATCCTTTTTTGTCAACCCAACATCATATACAACGGTAACAACTTAAAGGGATAGTTCACCCAAAAATTATGTTTATCTGCTTACCCCCAGGGCATCCAAGATGTAGGTGACTTTGTTTCTTCAGTAGAACACATTTGATGATTTTTAACTCCAGCCGTTGCAGTCTATCAGTCGTATAATGCATGGCAATGGTAACAAAATCTATGAGAGTAAAAAAAACATGCACAGACAAATCCAAATTAAACCCTGCGGCTCGTGACGACACATTAATGTCCTAAGACACGAAACGATCGGTTTGTGCCAGAAACCGAACAGTATTTATATAATTTTTTACCTCTAATACACCACTATGTCCAACTGTCTTTGGGCGCGCGCACGGCATCAAAAAGTTTAATTTTTGGGTGAACCGAAGAGCGTGAGGTGTGTACGCGCTCTGGCGTAGTTCACGTTAATGGGTGTGTTGATATCCAGCCGAAGAGCAATCAACCATAACTTCAGGCGAGCATTCCGACGCGTGCTTGTGGTGTTCGGCCAATCACAATGCACTGGGTCAGCTGGCCAATCAGAGCAGACTGCGCTTGTTAAAGGAGGGGGCTTTGTTGAAAACGACGTGTTTGAGAGAGGCGGGGGATAGAGGACCTACAATAATGTACAGTATTTGAAAAATAATGTGTTTTTTGAAGATTAAAGCACGTCAACATATTCTGTTACACCAAATACACAAAATAATGATCTTTAAAAAAGCATCATATGACCCCTTTAAGTGTGTGTACATTGAGGTCATGCATTACATAAATTCGTCCACTAGGTGGCGTGTTTCTCAAACTAATTAATACGTTAGGTAAAGTTACGGCTGGTTCAAATTCTGGGAAAACACTAGGTGCCCTCTGCTGAGGCTAATTTTATAACAAGAGGCAACAGACTATACCTTAAAGTAAATGTTATTTTCTGAGAAATGCTTACAAACTTTATTACACTTAAAAGAGGGCCTAAGTGTTTACATAAACTCACTAGGCTATATGCGCGAGTCGGTGTCGACGCAGTGAACTCCACGCTTGTGCTTCATTGTCTCTGTTCATCCCTATAGTGAGAAAGAGTCCCGTCCCTTCAATTCAGTGGGCGTGGTGTATGTGTGTATGAGTGGGAAAACAAACAGCAGACAACCAACAGTACTTCCTACATCTGCGTACAACTGGAGCGTTTCTTCCCCTCACTTCGCGTCACGCGTCTCTCCTGCGCGTAGTGTTTACACTGAGTCCTGCTGAGCTCAGAGGACGCGTCCCATCATCACTAAATGACGCGCCGCAGCGCTGCAGTTTTACATCCACACCACAGCTCCACACGCGTTCAACATAGATGGACCCGCATCATCTGAGGACTTCAGAGTTATATTACTGTCGTGATTGTGTTTTTCTTTTTGTAAAATGAGCGGAGGGGAAATCATCTGTCAGGGATGGTTGAGAAAGTCGCCACCAGAGAAGAAGCTGCGGAGATATGTAAGTGTTTCAAACGCTATGTTCTTCTGTGTTAGGATATTGTGCTTTATGTACAGTAACAGTGATGCAGAAAGCTGTGCATAACTTTTATTAACCAACTATCTGATAGGAATCTATTCACCCTTATAATGAAAATTAAAATGCAGGTGAATATTAGTTTATAATTCAACATAAGATGCTTTGCCGGTCATAGCTGGCAATGCGTGCATGTGTTTAGATAACAAGTGCCCAAAACCCCTCTAAAACCAGAAAACAGACCAGACCAGCTAAGGCCAGCAAAACAGCTTAGTTTTTTTTTTTTAAAGATAATCCTGATATTTAGAGAGCAGGGTGCCTGAAGACCGCTATATTTTTATAAATAGTGTGCATAAAGATGAGCTTTACATTAACTTGATGACGGCAACTGAGATGTACACTAAAATTAAACAAGGTGCATCTGACTGATATTGTTTTTAATGCAGATCATTATGTCAATATCTACACAGCAGGGCACTATATATATATATATATATATATATATATATAATGCTGATTTATACATTACACAAATTAAAAGTGCAGTTTGTATATTTTTGCTAATGGTACACGTTTTACACATAAAGAAATTAACAGCATTTTTGAGAAATTGATCAGTCTTTAAAAAAAAAAAAAAAAGGTTT